ACGTTCTCTGTGGCATGTATCATGGATTCTCTCTTTCAACTCATTCCGGTTATTACCACCTTATTTTGCGGCTGCTGGATAATTGAGAGCCTTGAGGTGCCTAACAGGTCTCTTGCAGCGCGGCCGGAGCCGCCTGACGCAATTCGCGTTTGCTGCACATGTGAAGCCGGATGATATCCATCCCCTAGACAACGACTTATGCGCAGTTCTCGGGCAACACAGCGTGTAACCCCAGCTTTTCTCTGCCCCCCCGGTGAGTGCCAGCCCACCGGTGACCGCCAGCCCATCGCCCAGCTCACCGCTGACCGCCAGCCTGCTGCCAGCCCACCGCTTGACCCACCAGCCCACCGCCAGCCCACCGCTGACCGCCCAGCCCACCGCTGACCGCCAGCCCACCGTCTGCTCGGGCCGGCAGAGCTCCCGCAGCTCCCGCCGCCTCGCGCCTGCGTAGCCGAAGTCCGCTTGCTCCCAGAACGTGTCCCGGGCTGATTCCAGGGTATCCGTCCTATTTGCAAACAAAGACTTTCGTCACTTTTTTTTCTTTTTCTTTTTTCTGAGACTTGAGTCTTCATTCGAAAGGTTAAATTGCTGTAAGTTTTTCATTAATTTTTTTAAGTAAACTATCATAATTTTCTTAAAACGATCCCTTGCTACATGAATAAGTTACCAAAATACATTATTTACAGACATACTTATAATACAAATGCACACATAAATGTGTTAAATTAGGGTCATCTGGAACTAAAGAGAATGGACTGCTAATTACTGTATTTTACTTACTCCATTAACCTGGCATGCATTTTTATGGATTTTATTTTTCCATCGCCATTTATCCCCTCTATGCCTCTTCCACCTCCACCCACACTCCTCCCCGCCACGTGAATGTATTGATTACAGTAACTGTGGTGGGGACTCCAGATGTTAAAATGTTTAGCTTTAGACAGTTACTAGGCTTGGTCATCAATGCCTGCAGAAGGCTACTGTTCTGGGGACTGGAATGTATGACCTGCGCTGACCCGAGGAGACCAGCCAGCAATCCGACCCCGTGGCCCAGGAGCACTGTGAGTGGCCAAGACGAGTCCGAGCCACTGTGCTCCCGGGAGGGAACGCCCACCGCCCGGCGCAGATACCCATCGCAGGTGAGAGGATGCTGGGAAATCACGGACGCAGCTTTGACCTGGCTAACCTTTCCCGCTGAATTCCGAACCTCTTACCTCCTTGCTCCTGAATTCCAAACCCTTTACCTACACTTTTCTTCTCCTTTTAAAGGGCTGGCTTGAGATGACAAGTAAGACAGTCTTTTTGGGGTACACAACCCGCAGTCTTCTCAGATCGCAGGCCATCTGAATAAAGCTCCCGTAAAGACTCAATCCCTGACTCGACTTATTAGTTCTGGTGGTGACCAGCCCCACAAACACCGACTTTTCCAGTTTCAATTACACTTACCTTTCCCTTCAGAATCACGAGGAAAACTTCAGTTTATCTTCCTAGTGTCTGGCGGGGGCAATATTTTCTGTGATCTATACCGTTTCTCCCCCTGACAGAGGAAATGACAGCTATTCCTGGGGGTAGTCAAGTTGAATCCATGACCATGTGAGCAAACTGATATCTAAAGGAGTTACTATCTAAAACCAAAGAGCCTCGCTGGGAACGGGGGATCAGCATCCCCGGCCGTGAAGGACGGCTTAAAGGGGAGGCATTACTTACCATCCCATGTCCACGTAGGTGCAGACAGGGTAGCTGAACCGGAACTCGGGTCTGCAGGATTCCTCATAGCCCCAGCAGTACTTCAGGTTTTCTAAGTGTTTCTAGAACATAAATCATGTGTGTTGGGTCTGATCAAATAATTGAATTACTACCCCCTTCCCTGGGAGACTGGCCTTTAGGCCACTTCACAACCGACATTCCCTTTCGCTTAGACCACCTTCCACTTGCTAAGACCATTCTCCTTCCCCTCTGGACCTTTCCAGGATCCAGATCTGCCCAGAGTTCTCCGACCAGAAAAAGCCCACCTAGAGTCCTTTAAAACCTCGGACTCCCAGTCCCTGGTGCTGGCACCATTTGGGGACTCAGCCCATCTGGTTTTCAGGATGACTAATAAATCATAATTCTTTACCCCTTTTGGCCTCGTGCGTTCCTCCTTCGGTGACCCTAACAATGTGCATGTAGATGAGACTCCCTTCTCCTGACATTTAGAGAGGACTCTTAGATTTTTCCATGAAGAAACAAAGCATTACAGGACTTTCACTTTTATATGTTACGATACATACTCATGCAATAAAAATTACAAGAGTAAATTCTAAGACTAGGAGTCTTCAGGTTCTTAACAACAATTATCTTTAATTACCAGCCCCTCCCCCTGTCTGTCCCCTGACCAAAAGCCTAGGCTTTACCTGGACAACCAGAGACCACTTGCATTGAAACTTCTGGAAGCAGCTTCCTGAAACAGCCTTCCTTTCTCAGAGAGCAAACTGATTCTAAAATCTGACCCTAAAAGTCACCTAAAATGGAATTTGTCACCAAAAGAATCAGCTAAATTAAAAGGATCAGCAACTTTACTCATGCACCCAGATCAGCAGATCCCACAGCCATGGAAAGCTATGCAGCCCGTGGGCCACAGCAGCTGCTGGTGGCCGGAGAGCCCCGCAGGCTCTTACCGGTTCCCAGGCCTCCTGTCAGCGGGCTCCCTGCCAGCACCGTGGGAAAGGAAGTGTTCCACAGGCCCAGCTTTGATCTCAGGGCCTCACAAGCTGCCTTAACGGGCTCCAATTTGAGGCCTTTCCAACAGCTCTACACCAGAAGGACAGGCTCAGTATCAGCCTTAATTATGTAGAGACAAGGGCAGAGGTGTTATTATCGAAATGAAGTGCTAAGGGGCAGACCCTCAGTGCAGCTGAAGAAGGAAGAGGTGTCAAATTCTTTAGTTATTTTTAACTAGATACTCTTTTGTGTATAAAATCTAATTTGATTCACTTATGGAGTATACAAATAGTATTGGTTTCCTATTTACTTTAGTACTAGTGATTTAGATTTTAAATCTCACTGCTGTGAGTGGGACAGAGTTTTAAACAAAGTTTGGTCGTTAGAAGCCTTATATGAAATACAATGTTCAACTCACCTTACAACCAAAAGATAAAATGCTACCTTCAAGTTCAAGTTATAAAGCAGAATTTGTAAGCTAGTCTAAACTGCATGCTTTTAATAAACAAGAGAAGTAACCTACCTTATAAGGACAGTGTGGGTCTTTCTTACAGACGCTGGCAACATGCCCATTATTGTGCAAAAAGAAGGGGATGTGCTCCTCCGGCAGGCGGATGCTGGCGTAGTCAAACCCAGGCCTGCCCTGGGCGCCCTCGGCCCCCACCTGGGGTGAAGCCTCCTGGGGGCGACTCAGTGGGAGGTCATGAAGCAACATTCCAAAGACAAGCAGCATTATCATCGCAGCCTCCAAACCTAGAGATCAAATTGCAAACACGTTCCTCAAGACATATCCTTCAACAATCTAAGGGGGCCAGCGCTAAGCATAATTACAATGAACTTTGCTACATCAGGGCATAACGTTCCTTTAGTCCATAAATACAGCATTTACTGTTATGTGCCAGGCACTGTGTTAGGAGCTGTTACACTAAAACTTTTTAATTTCCATGGCTGCAAATCTTTTTACTTTTTAAAAAATTTATCTTTATTGTTGAAAGTATTACAGATGTCCCCTTTTTTACTAGTCTTTTTAAAAGTAAGGTTTTATTGAGCCAAAGATGCTAGCCAAAATGAAGATGGGCACGGAGTCTAAACCCCCAGCAGCATGGCAAGAAGATAAAGCATGTCTGTCATCCTGGAGTTTTGCAGGCATCGTTATACATCCAGTCCGGGCAGGGAAAGAAGGAAGTGGTCGGGAAGAATTTACAGGAGCTACAGGCAAAGCGGTGGGGGCGGCGACGCCCCTGCAAGAGACAGCAGAGTGTGCAGGAGAACGCCAGCTCCCATGGGCTGGCTGGGAGAAGCAGGGGTCCCTGGGATTAGATGGTGGCTGGCTAAAATAATCTGCAGAATATCCACCTGGAAATTAATCCGAAATCCCAACAGGTAAAACAAGAATGTGACCACTTTTTTGCTAGCAGGCCCATAGCCATTCTCAGACTCACAGCTCTGTCTCTTTCTCTCGCTCTCCAGTTGCTGTAATTTAATTGAGAACATTTCAGAATATTTTTTTTCTTATCAGAGCTAAGAATACAGGGGAGAACAAAGCAAGAAAACCCCTGCTCTCCTAGTGCAAGAGACATAAAATAAACACACAATTTCAGAAGATGACACGGGCTGTGACTCAAGTAACCCAGGGCCGGTGACCTTTCCTGCAAAGGGCCAACTCTACTTCGCATTTGCAGGCTGTACAGTCTCTGTGACAACTACTCCACGGTGCCTTTGTCAGGAAAGCAGCTGAAGGAAGGGGTATGGCTGTTCTAATAAAACTTTATTTACAAAAATGGGAGGAAGTCCTTAATATGACCCAGTTTGCTGTTGCCTGAAATAAAAGTAATATGACAGACAACAGAGTATAATGTAGTTAAGAATTTGGACTTTAAAACTGTACCAACTAGGTTTGAATCCAGATGCAGATTCCTAAGCTGTATGACCTTAGCAAGTTATTTAACTTTTCTGTACCTCAGCTTTTCCATCTGTAAAATGGAAATTATAATAAGCCTTCCTCATAGGGCTGTGCATTAAATATTGGTAAAGTGTTTAGATGTATCTGGTGTGTTAAATGTTGTATGTTTATTAAATAAATGTTTAGCCCGGCTGGCGTGGCTCAGTGGTTGAGTCTCAACCTATGAACCAGGAGGTCATAATTCAATGCCCAGTCAGAGCACATGCCTAGGGTTGGGGGCTCAACCCCCAATCCCTGATCCCCAGTGTGGGGCATGCAGGAGGCAGCCAATCAATGATTCTCTCTCATCATTGATGTTTCTCTCTCTTTCTCTCTGAAATCAATAAAAAGATATTTTAAAAGTAATAAAAAAATGTTTAAAGCCATGTTGGATGGGGTGCAGGGTGCTCAATGACATCTGAGCTGAGACCTGAATGAGGAGGAGCAGGGACACATGCCAGAGAGACAGAGGAAAAGAAGTGCCATGGCTCGGAGCCAGCGTGTCTGCTGAGTGAGATAATAATACAACCAGCATGAGCAAGTACACCATGCGCCAGGGTCTCGGTACCGAGGTGCAGCAACAAGCACGCAGTCAGGAACTGACTCCCTGCACTTGTGAAGCTAACATGCTCGTGCGTGTCTGACAATCTATGGTGGTAGTAAGAGCTGAGACTTGGAAAACTCCAGGAGTGAAATCCAGGCAGTCTGCCTCCGAGACAGACCCTGAGGCTCTCCCTGTCCTGCTTTAGAATTGCGAAGAGATAATGGTTACAGACCTCAGTGCCTTTCTAACTCTCTCCATCTAAATGTCTTGGACCAGATTTCCCTACATATCATCTATCTATAATAATAAAAGCATAATATGCTAATTAGACCAGACAGCCGAACTACCTTCTGGACGACCTTCCAGATGACCACACTATGATACCCACTGGCGCCAGGCCAGCCAAGGCAGGTGCAATGTGATTGGTTGGGGGCCCGGCCATCGCCCCATGATTGCCCAGGCCACAGGCCAGCGGAGCAATCGATCAATCAGAGGGCTCCAGGATCGCCCCAGAGGGAGGCCCAGGCCACCGACTGGCAGGCTGTGGCAGGTGGGCAGGGCCTCCCTCTGCTGGGGGGCAATCCATTGTGGAGCCCCAGCCAGGTGGGCAGGGCCCACCTCTTTGGGGCAATTGATCATGGGGCTCCCGGACTGTGAGAGGGCACAGGCTGGGCTGAGGGAACCCCCACCCCAGTGCACAATTTTTGTGCACCAGGCCTCTAGTATACTGGTATATATAAAAGCCTAAGTGACCTAAGGACGGAACGACCGGAACAACCAGAATGACCGGTCACTATGACATGTACTGACCACCGGGGGGCAGATGCTCAACACAGGAGCTTCCCCCTGGTGCTCAGTGTGCTCTCACAGCGGGAGCGCCGCTCAGCTGACAGACCCCTCCCATCCCCTCCCATGGCCCACCAGCCCAGCAGCAGCCATTCACTCCCTCAGTGGTCCTACAGTTCCATTCTCTGGAGAACGGGCCAGGCACTGATGAACCAGCGCTGCTGGCACGATCCTGACAGCGCTGCCAGCCTCCTGGAAGTCGGCCTCAGGCACCACGCCGCTTCCCCTCCCTAGATGCTCCACAAGGAAGAAACTATAAAAGCGCCTGCCAGGTGGCTCCCGACAACCAGTGCGAATGTCAGCAGGACGGATCGGATCCCGGGCCGGTAAGGGCATCCCTCCGCCCACCCGGAGGGCCAATCGTGTCCCAGCCCCCCCTACCCCCTGGGGACCCCACCCATGCACAAATTCGTGCACCGGGCCTCTAGTAGAGAATAATCAGTATCATAGACAACATATCATAGACAATAATCTTTCCAGTTCACTTTAGTGGTATCTTTTCTCTATTTAAAAAAAGTGCTCTTTCCACAAGGTGATCGAGCTGTATACACCTTAGCTGCTCCCAGCTAGGTCTGCTGTACCAGGGCACACTGGGAAACTCAACTTTCAAAATCAGTGTTTGTTCACTGTGGGCGATAAATAGGGGGCTTTCAGAAGCAGACTGCTGTGCCCCATTAGCCCCAACTTCCAAGGCCAGCAGGTCACCTCTGGACAGGGGGGACACCAAGGAAAGTGGTAAACTCCGATTTTCTTTTGGGTGGAGCTAGAGTATACTGTTATCTGTTGTAAGGGTGATCTGAATTCATCTTTTTGGTTAGGACTTTTATCAAACAGGGAGTTGATTACAATTTTATAAAATTTAAAAGTATAAATTCACCGTGGCCAGTGTGCAGTGTGGCTCAGTTAGTTAGGCATGCCCTGTGCACCCAAAGGTTGTGGGTTCGATTCTACATCAGGGCACATGCCCAGGTTGCAGGCTTGATGCCCAGTAGGGGGCATGCAGGAGGCAGCTGATAAGTGTTTCACTCTCATATTGATGTTTCTCTTTCTCCCTCTCCCTTCCTCTCTCTCTAAAAATCAATTTAAAAATCTTTGTAAGCCCTAACCCGTTTGGCTCAGTGGATAGAGCGTAAGCCTGCGGACTCAAGGGTCTCAGGTTCGATTCTGGTCAAGGGCATGTACCTTGGTTGCGGACACATCCCCAGTAGGGAGTGTGCAGGAGGCAGCTGATCGATGTTTCTCTCTCATGATGTTTCTAACTCTCTATCCCTCTCCCTTCCTCTCTGTAAAAAGTCAATAAAATATATTAAAAAATAAAAATCTTTGTAAAAAGTACATATTAATAGTAACAGTATCACCCGACCCGCATGGCTCAGTGGTTGAGCATTGACCTATGAACCAGGAGGTCATGATTCAATTCCCAGTCAGAGCATTTGCCCAGGTTGAGGGCTTGATCCCCAGTGTGGGGTGTGCAGAAGGCAGCCGATCAATGGTTCTCTCTCACTATTGGTTTTTTTTTTCTCTCCCTTCTTCTCTGAAATCAATAAAAATGTATTTTTAAAAAACTGTAATAGTATCTTATAATGAAAATATTTACCACTTTAATCCTCAAAACCCCCCTGCAGCTGTTATAATGTTTCAGATATATAAAGCTGTCAGAAATGAAACACATTACCTTAAAAAGATGCAGAAGTAGTTTTTACTACCCGGGTGATATTTTGAGTCAATGGAAATAATAAGAGAAAAAACAATTGATGAGATAACCTGTAAGCAAAGGGTCTGGCACTTAGTGAGCTAAGGCCTAACTAAATGAAAGGCCTGGTTGCTGGTGCTCTCTCTTTGCCTTAATGAAACCACACTCATAGTTACAGGTACCAACCTCGAGCTGAGCAGGAAGGAGATGCCCGCTGTATGCAGGCAGCAACGGGTACAGGCGGATAAGCATTCCTAGCAGCAAACAACTTGCCGGCTCTCAGCCTGGTAAGCCACTCACTGAGTCACACTCGGACTGGAATTGAGCCTCCCTGTGCAAGAGGCCGGACATCCTATCCTTTGACTCATCCTCCCCAGAAATAAAGTCATTGTTGTGACCAAGTCCTCCTGCCCTTTGGTTATCCACGTGTATTGTCCTGGACCGAGCTCTAGCCATAACTAAACCCACGGATCACAGATCAGAAGCCTGGTTTTTGCAGAGGGCACGCACCCACTTGCATAAGCTAGAGGCAGGTGGCTGCTGGTGCAGAAGGCACACCCCAGGGCCTGGGGGGAGGACTTTGGGTGTGGAGTCCTCCCGCAAGGCCCCCGGGGAGGGGTGGGGGCCCTTCCCGGGCAGATGGAAGCTTTAGCAGCTGAGCTACTTTTTCCTTCAGCACAAAGCGGCCGGCTCCCTCCACTCCTGCAGCCCGAGTGGATTTCCAAAGC